CGTCACTGCGATTCGCTCACGCAAGACCAAAACGTGTATCTAGGTGCAATTAGCAGTCTTAAGTGATTAGGTATGGGAACGAGCTTGAAGCCGACTGTCATTTTTTAGGATAGGCCATGATTGCGAATTTCATTTTTCAGAATCGGTGTAGAGCATTGTAATGTCTTTGTTTGCTCAAGGGGCCAGTTTTTACGTGTGTAATCTTTATCATTTTCTTCCTCTCAGGCCAGAGCCGGTGCAAAAAACGGCGTGAAAAAGGAAACTCTTGAATAAACTAAGGCCACGCCGTAAGGATCAGAGCATTCTACACCACGAAAATGGGGTAAACGCCAATACCGACCATTCACAAACCGCTGCCCTATCTCTACCACATATAAATAGTACTCAGGTGAAAAAAATCAATGATAATCAAAAACAAAAATGGAAAACAAAAGGAAGAGTAGTGACAGGTCTAATGTGAAAGCAAAAGCTTCATATTACTACGGAGATGATTAATTGAACATATCGGACACTCGATCTAAGGGCCTCACTGGTATTCCGCACAAACGCGGGGCACGTGTTGACAGAAATTGGTCTATATTATCCACCCTCAAAAAGCGTTATGATCCCTATTCAGGATCACGCCTGGGCAATCGTCTTTAGGTCATATCCATCATATCTGGCCCCTACCTACCTGAAATTACAAATAATATGTGGCTTTTCCAAAAACATCTGCCACGCAGAGGGGAAGGCAGGAGGTTCATAGCACAATCAAAGCAAGAAAAATTCCGGAATCTCGTGAGAATTTCTCAAGAACCGACAAACCTTCTCAGAAGAAACCTGCACTCCAACCAAGTTCCACCCGCACTTTCGAAAATACACAGTGGTTACAGATTACGGTAATAAGATACGCCGCATGCATGTTTAGAATAGACCGAGATATTACACCAGCATTCTTGCAATCCGAGATAAATCCGACTGTGGGTATAAGAGTATCGTGAAGCCTTCTCAAGATGAAGGCACATGGGCGGAGAAAGGCTCAGCTTTCGAACAGTCTGTCTCGTATAATTGGTAATTCCCCACTACGCCCCGTAAGTGGTTGCCGAAACATTTCACTCCTTTGTCAACGCGAACGTCAGCAAATTCAGGGAGTAACCTTATGCCTTATCCTCCTCTACCTAATGCGATCTTCAGCGCTCATGGCTCGGAGGGACGTTCAAAACAGGGCATTTAAAAAGTGCTGGTAGGTGACTGTAGGACTAAGCTCAGGAGAGAAGAGAGTTGCCAGAGAGAACAAAATTGCTCACGCCTTTCAGCAGAATACCTTCACTTCCCTGAGGCTTAGTCTCAGGTTCTGTAAGTGGCTCACTTACTCCAATGTACTCCACCCCCTTTAGCGGAAGCGCCCGACCTTCCTGACCAGAAAGACGAGTACGACTCACACCCTTCCCCATCGAAGACCCTTGATGTTGGCTTACCCTGTCTGGCACCTATTGGCGCCGGTAGTGTGCATGAGTGGAATTTAGAGGTGTACCGAACTTTCCTTCAAGAATTTCTGAGGACTTTTCAGGAACCCTTTACTTCTGCAAAATTTTTCCAACGAAAACCAGTTGGCACAAGAAAATGGTCGGTAGTACTGACATACTTTTTTCAAAATCGGATTTTCATTCAAAGTAAAAAGAAATTTCAGTGGGAATTCAAATGACGTAGAGCTCTAGGTGAAAACCTTAATCACTTCTCTGCGAGACTTTTGGAATGGTAAAAAAATAAGAGTGGAATTAAAGATGGAAGCAAAGATGGAAAGTTAAGTTCACGCTGGAAATGAAACACGCTCGTCAATACGAACTAAACTCTTTAACTATAAAAACACGACGTTAAGCAAATATTCAATCGATAAGGCAACAAAGATCAGTCATTATTAGCTTCGTATCCCGCAGATGCGGTGGACAGAACCGGAAAACTCGGTCAAAGTTCAAGGACTACGGTAGAAAATCGAGAATTCAAAAAGGTAACATTCGAAAAGTCACCGAAAAGGAAAGTACATCAGCGTATGAACAACGAAATAAACGCATAGTTGTGGTGGTACATTGATCAGTAATCACTGATAAAACAACTCTGCCCCCCCCCTGGCCTTCTTTGGATACGATCAATAGTTATGGCCGAAAAGCGCAGCGCTGATAACAACAGCAGCAGCAGCAAATCGCAAAATGAGTGGCGCCGGCGTACGGTAAGTGCATATTCTGGAGGATTTTCTTCGAAAAGTGGGTTCGGGGAATAGCATGCACGCGCTTTACGACGAGGTAATTGTTAAGTCTATCTGCGAATGAGTTTTTTAGGCGTGCTGAAATTTTTTGTTCAGGCAGGAATACGATCAAACGCCTTGTTGATCTGAGCAGAGTCGAATGTTTGATTATTTTTGAGGCAGGGGGGGTTCTCTCCCATTGCGAAATAAGTTGTCTTCGGGCCTGCCAAAGACCATGAAATTATGATTCAAGCTTGCATACTCTGCCGCCTTGGGTTTGCTCAATCAATATTCTGAGTGACGCATGTTCACGGCGCATCCTAAATTATGAGTCCAGGTGACCCTCCCAGTCGTTTAGAGACGAGGATTGTGGTTCAGCTTGAAACTTTGACTTCATGGAATGGCATACCGCGAGGAAGTTGGAAGCTAAAGGGCGGTTGATTGTCTTCCGCAAAAGTTACGCCGTGCACTCAACATTCATTCAATATTTCAGTGATCTTTATATGATAAGCCTGCACCTGCAGTTACAGATTTAGGTTGCGGTTTTACCCTAACCCTTTATGGTACTGGCCGGTGCCCACAGACAAGCGCGATGCTACATTTGACCCCGAAAGGCTTTGATTCATTGGATAGAACGGAGATTTGGTCCTTGTTGCGATGAGGTGCTTCAACATTCGCGTCCTTTCGCCCCGGAGAGGGGCTGCAATAGAGTAAGGGATTCTAAATAAAGACGAAAGCTAAGCGAATGGTAGATCAAATGACGTGAAGTGAGGAAGAAAGTATCAAGAAACTTTCATCCATTCATTTCTGCAATCATTTTCTGTTATGTTTGAAAAAGTTAACCATTATACAGTTCAATTAGGCTTAACAAAAAAAGTGATAAAAAAGGACAAATAAAAAATATGGGCTCCGGCAAATTCATTGGATCAATCCACACAATCTCTACACACTTCGTCAGTCCATCAGAAAACCCCCAGTAACTTATTTCTGAACAAAAGTGGCTGCAGAGTAAACAAAATTGAGTAAGTGAATGACGTCTATACCTGTTTGGAGTTTTGTTATTTGAGGGGCTAAAATTGGACCCACTGAGAAGATTCGCTCTTTCCTCGCCATCTAACCAATCGATTATGCATATGTGTCACTTGTGTTCTACTTTCTCGCCTTGAAATTACTTACGAAATCCTAAACAATTGAGCAAATCTCAAAATTTGCCAACGAAGGCTTAGGACCTACTAAGCGATTGTGGACCTACTTTTTTTCCTGGGAACTGCTCAAAAAATGCCCATAGAATTCTAATTTCACACAATGATCATTAGAGAGTTGATGAAAAAAGCGTTTGCAGGCCGGTCTGAGTCATGAGTTGGACCGTGGAAAGTGTAATGTGGACGGCAACCTGCCGCCAGCGGCACGTGACGACCCCGACGGTCGCCCTTCGTCGATGGTCTGCCTGAGTATCATCTGAATCAGGTAATTTGTGGTGCTCAAAAGAAACTGGAAATGTTGACAATGACGTCATTCACGCTCGTCACCACAAATCCACTTCCACGGGCAATATCATGCCAGGCAAAGAGCACCGGGAAGGAGGTGGGGATGAAGTGAGGAACGTGACGAACGATCTGCTGGTGATCGCTATTCAACAATCTAAACGAAGCTGAAACTACGTCACTGTTGACGGACTGGAGCAATGACAAGCCATCACTGTGGGATCTGATCCCGTCCAGGGAGCCAAAGAAAACATCGCCGTTATTCGCCTCAATCCCACGACATGTTCGATCTTCTCTGCTATCCTGCGTTTCCTTTTGTTTCAGTACTATCTCGACGATTGGTTGACAGTCGCTCTCCGAGTATGTCCGCAGCCTTCGATGCTTGATAGAGCTCGAGCCAGCGACGCAGCTGGCAGACAATAATGTCATACCCATTCAATTCTTTTTTGCTTTGTTTCCTGCGAACTCACTATTACAAAAAAGCAAGGTCGTCGATAGCACCCCATTAATCCATGGTCCTAAATTCCTTAAAATCATGCAGAGCGTACGCGCGACACACGCGCCGCGCTATCATTCGATTTCCACTCAGAGTTCCCGTACTTAATTCCCTTCCTTGATTTTAGAAGTCAACAATTTCGATGGCATACCGTATCTCCACAAGAAATGAACAAGCCAGGAAGTGATTTTTGGTAGATAAGTGGGCCACGTCCCCGATTTATCAGCCTCCTGTGATTTCTTTATTATGTTACCGAACAGTAGTCATAAAATTAAATGGTCATAAATATCTGAGGCGATTAGCAACCCCGAAAAAGTCTGTTCGACCGACGTTTCATGGAAGCCTAATTCCAAAGCAGTGATAAGCGGGGGAATAGGGCACCGATTAGAATTTGCAATCGTGCAAAGCTTCATAAATAGTATCTATTCACAAAAAGCCCTGTCTAAGGTCCCTTGTCTGAGAAAATCCCTGCCTGAAACCCAAGCTGAAACAGTCGTGAATTGGCGCCGGCGATTACAGGACACGCAAAAAGCTTGCACTTTCCGTTGCACGGCCTAGCTTTCCTCATTTCTGGACAGGCATTAACTAATTAGATTAATTTTAATTTATTTTTATTTTATTTTATTTTATTATTTATAAATTTAAGTTGTAGGTTTGGCGTATTGAAGTTCTCCCGAATAATTATTCTGTTGATGTTGATTAACCAACCGATTTTTGTGAGCGATTTAATTTCTATGTCGCTTTTTTCAGATGTTACTGCCTATCTTATGGGCTGTGTTCAAGGTTCTCACATCTTTGAATGACCACATTATTGCAATACCCCCCCCCTGGCTTGGATTATGGAAGTGATGAAAGTTCACCAGAACCGGAGGAGGATCCGTTGGTCAGTCGTTCGATTTGTTCGATTTCCATGTTTATCAATCTCATTAATTATTGCCAGATTCCTAGACCCCAGAGCTCGTAAATTAAACATATCAATCTGGGAGGGGGGGGGCAAAAAATATCAGTAATTGTGGAATGTGGGTTGACGTCCTATTTTTTCCAAATCCACTAGAATAATGTAGAGGATTTCTCAGTGTCCCCAGCACGGTTGTGACATCTGTTTTGGTGCCAGCCGTATCGGCCCACTAGGTCGGGTCACATTTTGCAGTTCGGTTTTGTGGAGTAGATAAGTATCGTACATGCTATTCCGCGATCTCATAATCGCATGTATGATCGATACGTATTTTCTCTAGGAGAAAGCGTAAGATCACAAAATCGCAGAATCGCTGGTCGCTTAGTATGACCGGCGGTAACGACTGACAACAAAGTTTCACGTGGTGTAATGATTTTCTTGGAGTTACACAAACTATAAACTCATGAACATGGTTCTCAGTAATGGCTCATAAAATCGACATGCGAAAAATATTCTGTTTAGAAACTGAGTGGGCAGCGCTAGAGCTGTGGGTAAAATGCAGACGCTCTATTTTACATTGCAACAAATTCAGCCGTTTGTTTCTAGTAATTTCTTTTTGAATTTTTTCTGCTCCATTGTATACCTGGGCTCAGCTTCTGGACTTGTTTTTGTCATCACTTCACCTTTAGTTCTATTAAATAATTTGTTTCAGGAGAGCCACATGTGTATTGATTGCTATAGTATCGCGATGAAAATCGTACAGCAGCCCAAAGGAACGCCACTAGCGGACAAATATCTCGCCGTGCATGAGTTAAGCAGTACGTGAATTTTCTTATTATCCTTTTTTTGTAGGTATAACGACCTAAGATTGTTCCTGTTCGCATCTGCCGCTGCTTTCCAATATTGGAGCGGGCCCTTTCCATAATTCAAACAGCTCATTCATGAAAAAACGGAGCACGCTGAGGAGTAAAAGCTGTAAAAATCAACCCAGTGGCTACATTGCAGTTGGACGTGGGAATGGCTTGCCACATAGTGGGGGGGGGGGAACTGCTCGATGTGCGGAAGCAGCATGGGATAATTCTTCACCACAGAATTTTCAAATTTATTACGATGGTATATTAATCAGGAAAGCATTGTAGCTCTTATGGTAATCATGGTCTGTGCATATTTTTCCCAATTAGTGCTTCCCTCAAGGGGTATTTGAAAGTGATTTTTCGAAGCTAAGCTTGCTGCTTTCGAATCAACACGACTGGCTTTTCGCTTGCGGTTAGCTAGAATGGTGATAAAACTTCTTCACGAGAGAGATCTGGGACATGCATGCAAGCATTCGCATTTTCGCCAACGTGTTAAGAACACCATTAACCTAAAAGTAGGGGGATATCGCCTTCGTTGTAGTTGTGCTTTATATTGAACACATAGCTTCGCCAGTTTTTGCATTGTTTCCGATTAACCCTTGGAAACCATTGGAAAGATTATCAGCCCATATGTGGGCTGCAATCTGGTGACCGTATTGATTTTTGCAAACCGTTTTCAGCAAAAGAGAGGAGGCCTTTTGTTTATTTTCTCTTTCTGTATTGTTCAGGAAGTATTCCTCTGTACCATATAATGAATTCTTCTTTGCACTTTGCTTAACAAGTTTCCTAAAACAAGCTTTTACCGAAGTTCCACGCGGCCGCAAAACCTAAAACGTGCGCATTCTTTCAGTGTGCCCAAGTTTTCGATTTTCTTTATTTTAATCTGGTCCATCTTCCAACCAAATGTCGAAATGCTTGTTTGAACTTTTAATGTTTTCTCTATATGATCAGTCATCATCTACATGTTTCCCTAATGTACAGTTTAGTTATTTTCTTGCAGATGAGGAAATAGTTCTTTTTGGTAACGCGTTGAAGGAAAGCGATATTGATCCCGAAGGCGATGACTTTATTCGTATGTTCCTGAATTTTTTCGCTTGTTGTTAAATAAGTGTTGTCCATGTCAGGTGATTGCAGACTGTGATAGATGTAACTGTTATTATCGTGCCTCTTGTAAGGAGCACCCTCTTTTTTGGGTGAAGGATCGTGAACCGGTTGGTATTGAAGGCATTTACTCAGGTTCCATTTGTCGTTGTCAACTCTGCAATTTCATTCACATTTCAACTATTTTTTCCAAGAGTAAAAATTCAAAGCCCGAAGATCGTGCTCGAATGACTGCACCAGCTTTTATAAGTATCAAGAACTTCTTCAATACCTAACGCAGGCTTGGGAGCGTTTGCTGAAGCGTGTATCCCTGTAAGTCTTCGCTTTCAACTCAGGCAAAGATTTATATTTCTCTTTGCTTAGTTGTGTGTTGCAGTACGTTATAGGTTGGTATGGTGTTCGGCCCATATCAAGGCATACTGCTGGAAGATGCTTCTGAAGCGGAGAAAGACGGATATTGTTGGGAACTTCGGTACTGGTTGATCGTATTTAAATAGTTTCAAGATTCTGTTCGTCTTTTCCTTCCTCTGCTTTATTTCAACACTTTCCAAGTCACACAGGTCCGCACTTCATCGATGGTATAATCCCAGTATTTCAAATTGGAATGCGATATATTAATAGTTCTCGACGTGAGTGTTGGCCCCTTTATCTCGAACATTCTTTAACCCATTCGTGACAATGGCAGCCACCGGTGGCTGCCAAAGATCTTACTTGTACAATGGTATCCACCGGTGGCTGCCGTGTTTCAAATGGAATTTGGAAAGTTTTCTTTCCTGAAAAGAATCTTCATACCCTCATTCATCTATGCCAGCCTTGGGCACGGGAATCTCCATCCACTCAAATTTTATTGAAGAAAAATCTCCTGACTCTCCTGCTAATGCGCAATCCGGCGCGGTCGCGACTGGGTTAAATTATTAAAGAGACAGACCTCCTATGACAGTAGAAGTGTTGCTTGCGATATTTGCAATTCAGCGACAATGTTTTAGCTTCTTTACGGGCTGTCTCCAAAACGCTTAGAAAGTAACTAGTCCGAGTAGCCAAAAGTCACCTCAATCGTATGATTGTGTTCTCGAATTAAAATCGTTTTGATGTCAAGGTATCCTTTACGGCCAAGAACATTGTCCGCCAAATGCCGCGTGCAATTCCTCACGGTAGCTCAATCAACTGCCAGTTATTTTCTTGGAATTCAAGAAAGGAAAAACGCGAGCCTGATCCCATCAAGACATTGTACTTAGTAAAATATAGCGGCAAGAATATCAATGAACTCTAACTCTTCAGTAGACTCTTCATGGTTTACCTATACTTATTTTGAAGGTAAGCCCCGGAATAAATGGGGTGTGTAAAAATGTTCAAAAATGAAGTTGCGGAGAGCGGAGGGGGACTAGTGGCGAAGCTGGGATGACCTCTGTAAAGCGGGACCGAACAGTCCATCGCTCTCTGGTTGAAAAAAGCCTAATTTCGTGGATTTGCCCTGCTGCATTGATGCTCTGGCAATCTTGCATTGAACCTTTGGCACTGTTTACCCTTTACTGCCCCACTTCTCGTGAACTGAGCCAGGTTTTTATCGAAATCTATCCATGACTGTGATTTTGGCTAGAAACTTTGCTTCAGGGGTAATTCGACCCGTAGAACACGACTATCACATTCGTTTAGCCGCTTGAATGCCTGGCGCTCGCGCCAGAAGCACCGGCGCCAAAAGGCGCCAGAACATCTCGGATCACCAAATTCGCTGGAAAGTTGTCCTTCAGAGGTACTTTGACCCGTAGAACATGATTATCACATTAGTTTGTTGCGAGTGAACCTGTAGCGCTACGAGCGCCCGCGCAAAACTGTTGTGATAGCGCCGGCGCCTGTGGCGCGGGCGCCAAGCGTTGTCGCGCTAAACCGGTGTGATATTCTTTTAGGGAATTATTTAGGTACCGGATATCTTAGTGTCGTTTTTTCACCACGAGTTTCGGACCACCAATATTTTAATTCAAAATCCGGTGAGTGAAACAGCATATTCATCGAATGACTCATTAGCACCTTTCCCATTTACCAGTATGAGTGGAAACCTCGTACGATTAAAGCTAGGAATTTTTTGAGTCGAAAAAGAGAGGTAGGTCGGTTTTGACATCATCTGACAAATCATCCCTCTCACTTGCTAAAAAGTTAGGCCTGGACAAAAGAAGTATACAGTTAGTTAGAGTAGGGTCTGCACTGTATGGTGGAAAAGTTATAACTTACCAGCTCAACTGGACAATTTTTCCCGGAGTCTTTTTTGCCACATAGGGTCAAAAACGCACCCTTTTTGAGCACACGTGAGTAGCAGATGAGCACATTTATTAGAATTTCTTGTGCAATCAACTTCGTTAAAGCGTTGTGCATCATCGATCAGTCACTGCTAAGGTGTCCTACCATTTCAGCACAAGACTGGTGCAGCCCCGTCTCGACTGATTTAACTAGGGCCACCTTTTTGACGACGATTGCGGGCATCACTTCAAAGACTTCTGTCTTTTGAGAAAACTGTGAAAAACCGATGAGCATTTTAAATGGTAGTATTCCCTCCAACAAATGCAATGTTGGTTTGGTGGGCGGAAGTTGTAGCTCTCAGCAAGAATTTTGAAGCATTTGGTACACACATGCGAATTTGCACACTGGACCCAGGAATTTTCAAAAAAAGTATAAAAATTGGGGGAAAAGTTAAATTGTGAACCAACAATAGAAAAATAAGCAACATATTTCGCAGTATTAATGAGCAAAAAGGACTTTCTGAGATATTGATTTTCCATAGTAATCGGCCCCAAAACTTCCTGAACTCAGAAAAGCGACACTAAGATATCCGGTACCTAATAACTTCGAAGGCGACTTTTAAATGAACTTCAATGCAATTGAAATTCAAAAAAAAGACTGCGGATATCAGCTTTACTTCAACCTCTTCCGTTTCAAACTTCATTCAGCCACAAATCCCGTATCTCACAAAATCCTTAACACAATCTTCACTCAAATGTTCGGGAGTTGAAAACGTCTACACGTTACCTATGAATTATTCCAGATGACAAGGAACAAAATCTGTTGGCGTTCCAATACTGCGGTGGAGTATACTATCGAGTAATACGACCGATCAAGATCAAGGACGAGCTATTAGGTGGGAAGAATCGCTGCCTACGTATTAACCGCCTTCGATGATTCTTCTCTTTTTTCCTCTGTAATTATTTTTCACATATCTTTTTTAGTTACCCTAGGGAACATAATTTATTTAGAGACATAGAGGAACATTCTCTTTCAATTTATGTGATGCCAACATCATGGTCTTTCAATGGTTATTGTGCTCTAGGGAAGTCATAATAGTTGCTTGAATGCGGGAAATTTAACTATAGCATAAATTCAGGCAAAACTAGGACCTGCTGCTTCAGCCTCTTATTCTGGGTTTACTTAGCTTTTCTCTTAGCTTCCGGTTAACTTCGTTACCATTCATTTTCCTCTTTGCTGTTTTCCTACTTAAATCATTTTCAATAAACTTTTTCTTTCCTTTTCAATGTTTCTTAATTTAATGTGCAGTGTGTCACCACCACTACTACCACTATCCTGTTTTAGTGTGGTATGGTAAGAAGTTCGGCAAAAGTCTCGGCGTTTTCACGACTTTGCGTTCTGTGAAGAAGCCAATCGCGGCCGCAAACAAGAATCCGTTTATTCTCTAATGCGATGGTACGTTTGTGTGGTTAAGTCGTGTTAAGGGTGTGGTGACACGCACACTTGTTTTTGACTTTTTCCATGGGCAGAACAAATGTAAAATACTGGTGATCATTCTTTTTGAAAGAGAAAACCAGTGATTGAGTTCTAAAGGTGGTTTACTCGTTGCGAACCGTACTTGCACATCGGATATCTATACTCGATATCCGAGAGTTGGAGTAGGCGTGTCACCGCAAGTGGCGTGCACTTGACAGAACGAACCTATGTGGGTAAGCTGCCTCCAAATATCGCCAGTCAAAGGAATAAAAAGCAGCAAGCTAACACTTATCCAATAGCAATTTATTCAAGAGTGCAACGCCATTTCACACGTGACCAACCAGCCCTAAGACACACAATCTCATCACACTACAGCATGTATGTTACACCACTTTTTCTACCGTTCCAACCATGCCTCACCAAAAAAAACCTCGTATTAGAAACGTATAGTCCTTCATCATGAATTATTGGTAGAATTAATTTTTGAAAAAAAGACGGTAAATATAACCAAAAACGAAATTAAGCACGGTGAGCCCATTGAATAAATGGTTTATCTATCATAACACACACATACATATCATATCAACGCGGAAAAAACACATGAAAAATAAATGATAAAAAGTTCATACGCCAAAAATGTGAGCCTCTCAGATAATAAAAAGAAATATAAAATCAAGTTGAAGTATTTACGACACACATAGATATAAAGGATTAGTAAACTAGGTTGGTTTTGAACTTCACTCCGAACCCTTTCGAGCGCTAAACATGAGCTACATCATACATTTGTAAAGAATCAACATAAATGATCAAAAATATATAATATTCGAAAGCATGTGACCAAAAAGTGCAGGAGAATGTTATGGTAAAGAAAGGAACGAAGCGATAAAAGTCCCGCAGTAGTAAAGAAGGAGATGCTCCGATTAAAACTCAAAGCTCTCCATAAGGCGACAGTACGGTTAGAACGGATCAGATTAGAAAAGGAAACAGCAATATGTGGCTAACTCTTCACATCACGGAGATACGGAATCGATTGATCGCGGAGGGCTGACACATGGAGATGATTCTTGACTCTGGAATAGTATCATCTTTCATCACACTTTCCTTGAATTTTCATGAAACCTTATTAAATGAAAGCTCCAGGTTGCTAGCATATAAATCATAGGACGCGATAAACACTGAACTCTGAGTTCTTACAATTTCCCATTGCCTTCCAAGCTCATGTTAAGCTACAAGAAATCGCGACGATAAAGCTTCACAAATAACTAACTAGTTGAAATAGAAAAGGTGACTACAAAAGCAAGCATGTTAGCATATTTTGAACAACCAAAGGAAAGTGTTAGGGAAGAAGAGAGGGAAGAAACTGTCACCTCTCCGTCGAAGAAATTCGTCCAGAAACAGGACGGCTAACAATTTTTTTCTAAGAGAGCTTTGTTCCAGAAACAGTCTGTAATGGCTTACCTTACACTCATTAAATGACTTAAGGAGATTGATATTAATATTGAGAATTATAAAATTGATCAGCTTCACGCTTTGCAATTTGCCGCGGTCCCGCATCTTGTAGTCTTTTTTCCATTTTTGCAAGGCTAACGGCCATAATGTCCTCCGAAGATGTGGTGCTGGTCGGCACGAGAATGACTCGCGGTGGTTTCGATCCCTTGGGCAGCTCTGTGGGCTTGAGGTAGTAACCACGTTCTAAATTGTGCGAATCAGACAAAAACTTTTCAATCAGAACAAAAGATTTCTGCGCGACACACCTAGCCACCATGATAGAAAACTCGTTCGTTGAGCGGTTATCATGTCGATTTGGAATAGTTCGAGGCACGTTCGGGGAGCTTTACGAAATTTCTTTGGATGGCAGCCCGACCCTCGATTGGCTCTATGGTATATGTAACACCAGTCATTTTCTTGGATTGGATAAACTCTGAAAGAAATAGAATTTCATAAACTTTATTTCATAAACTCGTTACGGAGAACAAGGAATGAGCAGAAGCCGATACCCAAAGGAGAGCATGTCGCTTCCCTTGTTTGCTTAGATCTGATTCCACGTTTTCGCTCTGGGCTTCAATAGCTTGGGCAAATTCAGAAATGTAGTCCATGATTAAATGATTCAGAGAATTTGGAAGCTTCGTTTCAGCTGCTCTGAAATGGAACCTGTTGATTTGTCCCATTTTGGATCTTTTGGCAGTTGCAAAGTTTTGTTTCGCGCTTCAAATCGTACTTAAGTCTCCATTCTAGGGATGCGTGCAACAGTTCCGCCGTCATGGAAATTCAATTTTTTTTTTGCTAAACGAGGAAACCCCGGGGAGCATGAGCCATCCCGCTCCCTTTCGCGCCCTCTCATCAAGCTCATTTCCATTAGAAAAGCTCGATTACTTCATGTGATATACACTATCGCGCCACATACATTCCTCCCTTGCTGACTAAATGAGACCATCGTGCTTCAATGTTAAAACTCATATGGATGGAAAAATCTGCAGTGTGCATTTGTAGTCTGAAAGGAAGTTACAAGTGAAGATACACGAACTAATCAGAACAAATTCAGATACCACGTTCGATGGCTCCAGTATGCTTACAACTAGTTCTATTTCGAAATTGTTCTTCTTCACCTCTCACCGGTTCTAATTTGTGTGATACTTGTACTTGTACATGATTACGGCATATTTCCTGCCTTTCAGAATTCGCTTGAGACCAGTACCATAACTGTTTCTTTCTGTGTTACAAAAGAGGTGCAAATTTTCCCCTCATT